TTACAGGGATGGAGATGGCCCGGAAGTTAGGGGCTAGATCAATAAAGGCCTATAGCGACTCGCAGCTGATAGTGAACCAGGTATGGGGAAGTTACGAGGTCAAAGAGGGGACGCTAAGAAGGTATGTGGCCAAGACACGCGAGCTGAAGGGCCTGTTCGAGCAATTCGCGCTTGAGCAGATTCCGCGAAGCCAGAACAAGAGAGCTGACGCCCTGTCTAAACTGGCCTCTACCTCGGTTGGCGTCTTAGGTCGTGAAATACTGGTGGAGGTCGTCAGAAGTCGGGCCTATGAACCGTTCAATGCTGTGGTCATTCAGGTGGTGAGCTCGTGGATGGATCCTATTGTCCAGTACCTGGCTCAATGGGAGCTCCCACCGAGCAGGGTAGAGGCCCGCAAAGTCCTCCTTAAGTCGCAGAAGTACGTGCTCACGCATGGAGTCTTATACAGGAAATCTCACTTGCAACCCTGGTTGAAGTGTGTAACGCCCGAGGAAGGAAGTTATGTCTTGCGCGAGTTGCATGAAAGCATCTGCGGCAATCACGTTGGCCCTAGAGTATTGGCCAAGAAGGGAATGCTGGCTGGATACTATTGACCCACCATCTTCAGGGACTCGGCCGAGCTGGTAGCCCGGTGTAAGTCTTGCCAGCTACACGCCCCAATCCATCACACCCCCACTCAGGAAATGATTCCTCTCAGTAGCCCGTGGCCATTCTTCCAATGGGAGATTGACCTGTTGGGGCCGTTTCCCCGAGCTCCAGGTGGCTACGAATACTTGGTGGTAGCCATTGATTACTTCACTAAGTGGGTAGAGGCCGAGTCCATCAACACGATTAGCAGCAGGTCGATCCAAAAATTCCTCTGGAAAAGCATAGTCTGCCGATTTAGCATACCAAGGGCTCTCATCTCGGACAACGGCAGGCAGTTCGCTGACCACTCTCTCCAGGAATGGTGCACGGAGCTCGGCATCCAGCAGCACTTCACTTCAGTGGGGCACCCCCAAGCCAATAGCCAGGTCGAGAATGTCAACAGAACCATCTTGCACGGCCTGAAGACAAGAATAGAGTCTGTCCGAACTAATTGGCTGGAGGAGCTGCCCACCATACTATGGGCTTACCGGACAACGCCTCGGACGGCCACCCAAGAGACACCGTTCGTCCTGACATACGGGGTCGAGGCAGTAATCCCAACAGAGATTGGAGTGCCCTCGGGTAGGGTGCAACACTTTGTGGCTCAGGATAATGAGGAGGAGATGCGGGTTGACTTGGACTTAGTCGAGCATCGAAGGAAAGAAGCGGCTATAAGAATGGCTAAGTATAAGGGCCAGGTCGCACGCTATTACAATGCCAGGGTTAGGCACCTTTCTTTCAAGCCAGGGGACCTGGTATTACGCAAGAACTCCGTGAGCCGAGCTGGGGGCACGGGTAAGTTAGACCCAAATTGGGAAGGTCCCTACGTGGTAAGGGAAGCTGACCGGGTAGGTTATTGTAAGCTAGCTCGCCTGGATGGAGGCGAAGTCCCGTGCACCTGGCACAATTCAAATTTAAGGTTTTTTCTTTAGTATCCTGCCTGAGCTGAAAATGGTCAGCCGGACAGGTCTGTTTTCATTTTGTTAGTTCAGCACTTGGGCTTATAATGTATTCAAAGCTTTTAAATAATAAAAAATTTTTACAAGTGTTGGATGAGAAAGTAGGCCATCTATTCCATTTCAAAAAAAAGGCATATACATGCGGAGGGCTATACAAAAGCGAGCTGGCCAGCTCGGTGCCTACCTTAGCCTAATTCCTATAGGGCTATCCTATGTACTATCCATCTAACTCTCCCTTTGCTGTTCTTGCTCTGGCTTGGGAGAGGCTGCGGGAAGAGTAGGGTCGGCGACCAAGGCAACCAGGTCGCGCCCATTGGAGTAGCCCGTGACAAGCCTGTCAATTTGATGGACGGCTTGGGGGTTGTAGTCAGGCCATTTTCTCAGGTCAAAACCCGGCAAGTTCAAGGACTGAACATCCGCCATGGCTTTGGTGTAGCCGAGCTGCAGGACGGGGCCATTCAGGATGGCCAGGTCGTTCATGAAGCTTTCAGACTTCTTAAACTCTTGAACGCCTAGCTGACGCCCTTCCTCCTTAGCCGCTTCCACCAGCTCGGTAGATCTTTTGTGCTCGGCCTCCAGAGCCGCGGCCAGCTCAGCTGCTTTCTTCTTCTCCAGCTCGCAGGAGGATTTGGCATCCGCAAGTTGTTTCTTCAGGGACTCTAGCTCGGCCTCCGCGGCTTCGAGTTGGCCTGATAGCCTTTCCTTGGCGGCGTCGACCTGAGATAGGTTGACCCTCATATTTTCGTACCGCTGCCCGAGCTCGGCCCCAGCGACATTGAGCTGCAGATCGAATACAGGATAAGAAATCAGCAAATTGAAGGGGATGTCAGGGAGGCACTAAGATAAGGAATCACCTGCGCTGTACTGAGGTAAATATGCTCCAGCAGCTCGGAGTTGGAGGCGAGTTGGATGAAGTGGTGATCGCGTGGGAGCACTACGCCCTGAACGAGCTCCCAGGCAGCTTCAGGGAATTGAGCTCGGTCATTCACCGACAGCCCCCACTTGGGGCAGAAATGCTAGGGGTGCGGGTGCGAGCTCTGGCCGGTAGGAGGCTTCAGAGGAATCACGTTCCTCATACGCCACATGGCTGGAGGTGACTCGGACGAGGCCTGCTGCTCGGCGGAGTTCACTCCGTAGTGGGGCGCAAGAACTGTTGAGGGTTCCTCCTGGGATTGGGGGGAAGTCGCCTCGGTCCTAACCCTTTTGGCCGCCGTCTTCTTCCTTTTCTTCTTTGGCTCCTCTCCAGGTGACGACTGAGCTGTGATCTGAGGATTGGACACTGGCGGAGGAGGAGGAGCCGCGCTACTGGGGGCCGCGGATAGAGCGGGAGTAGGAGTGCTAGTACTCCCGGATCCTCCAATGTTCAAAAACTGGGAGAATCTCTTCACTGCAGAGGAAAAAGAGTGGGTCAGCTCGGGCAGTGTGACCAAACTCATTAAAAAGAAGGAAGAAATGAGGCCCAGAAGTTACAAGCTGTCAGCTCCTCTGGGAGAAGGGGTCGGAGATCGGGGGGCAGGGTCATTCACCTCTGCTCGGATCAGCCCTGCCGACCAGAGCTGTGCATTGTTAAACTCTTTAACTTTCAGCCGGGCTTCCGAGCTGACCAGGCGGTCCAGCTCGGCTTCAGGCAGAGGTGAGGAAATTGGATCAGAAACCTGGGTCTCCTCCCTCCAGGTCAGGGGAGGAAACCCAGTGTTCTTCACAAAAAAGAATTGTGCCTTCCAGCCTTTGATGGAGGAAGGCATTTGCATGAACAGCTCGCGGGTGGGGAGTTCCCCTCCGCTCCTGCGAGCGAAGTAGAACCAGCCGTGAACCGGGCCGCTCACCTTCATTTGAAAAAATGACCTAAACAGGTCCAAGGAATAAGGAATTTCGAGAGCTCGGCACAAAATGAAGAAGCCGAGGATCGACCGAATGGCATTGGGAACGATTTGGGTAATTCGGATGCCCCAGAAGGTCAGAATGTCATAAAGGAATTAGGGGATGGGAAGGCGGAGACCAGCCACGAGCTGATCCTTGTAGATAGCTACAAACTCAGAAGGAGGTCGGCACGCGTACTCCCCCGGTTGGGCTGCCCTAGCCTCGAACTGGGGAGGAATATCGTACCTCCCCACCAGCTCGTCCACGTCCCCCTGGTCAAGGATGGGGGGAATTATTTCGACTTCCCCAAAGTCGATATCGGGCGCCCTAGGGGGGTCCAGCCCTAGCGCGAGCTGGAACTGCCTCCAGAGGGGTCCCTGGGCCAGCAGCTCCAGTCTCAGGTTGGGCAGATTGACCAGGCTGGTCCATGGTTAAAACTGGAGAAGGAACTGGAGAAGGAAGGTACTCAGACCCGGACGAACTGGAAGAAGAAGAGCTAGAAAAGAGTATCTCTATGAGTGCAGGTCGAGTTACTCTACGCCTAGGTGCCGAGCTAGTAAGATCTGAGTGTGTGGAAGAGGAAGACATAAAATGGAAAGAAGACTTACTAGCGGATGATAGGGAAGAGCTGATAGATGATTAACGCAACTCTCGGGTGGATTCACTAGGCGAGGAGCGAGCTGAAGAAGATTGGGGAAAGGAGAGAATGAGAATGGAAGCTTGAAAATGACGTTTGGTAGGACCTATTTATAGGCCTCCTGGGCGGGAAGTTGAAGAGCCTCGAGTTGGAAATTCGAATTTATTGCAAAGGGATGGTTATCTTGGAAAACGTTTGCGCTGACAACCGCCATCATGGGGGGACGCGACCTTTGAGGTGACGGTTATGACGGTATACGTGGCGGTTTTCCGAAGAAGGTGCGCGATCGTGGGATCATGGGCCCCGCACTAGGCCGACCTGACGCTTCGTAATTTGGTCCAGACTCATGCGACTACTCGGTGAATCTAAACTCAAGGGGGGCTAGTGTAGTGGGGCAAATCCACGCATGCCACGTGTCAGCTCGGTAGGTGACGCACGTCAGTTCGGCGTTAGGGACTACGCAGCTTGCACGTGCTAGCTCGGCAGGAGAGAGTCAGCTCTGCTGTGTCAAGGGCTCCTGTGCTGGGCCTTATGGGCTGCCACCTTCGAACTTATAGGCGCCGTCACGCAAAACCCTAGAAGACTCCGAACCCTAAGGGGACTTTGACTCCCACAAGGAAACTACAACCCATTCGGCCCTATAAAAGCAACGCCATAAGACCACACAATGTATGTATAAACTAGTACTCTAAACTATTACTCTGTGGACAAGCTTTACTGACTTGACCGTCGGAGTTATTCTGAGGATGCCAGTCCCGCCCTTTTCCTTTCTTTACAGGACCCTCAACTCGGTTCACCCTCTCAGGTCGGCTGCGCCTGATCAGTTCGGCTCGCAACAGTTCAGTTCGGATCTGGTTTTTGGCTGTCGCATCAATTAGCGCCGTCTGTGGGAACACGTAATTCTTCTCTTGCGAATCATGCCAAGAACGAGGTCCCAGAGGAATGCTGGTGGATCCAAGGGGAACGAGGGAAGCAGCCCCCAACACCCCTCACGAGGGCTGACTCCTGGAGACGAGGGCGTGGGGCTCTCACGAATTCCGCCGGAGCAGTTGGTCCAGGCGGTGGCAGGGAACCTGCCAACTTTTGAGGCAATTGTGAACTACATGAAGGGGTAGGCAGTAGGTCATCCCGGCCAGGGACTAATGAGTCAGGGAGATGGGCCGTCCGAATCTAGGACGGGGAGCCCTAACCCTCCGCCAAAAAGGGTACACCGGGAGCTCACTCGCGACCAGGTTGACGTTGTAGAACCTTCTCACAAACACTCCAGAACCGAGCACCCGGAGCCCTTCCGGAGGTGTTCTAAGGAGGAACTCTCACCACGGAAGGAGCAGCTCTAGGTGCAGGACGAGTTGGACCTGCTTTTAAATCCAGAGGCGGATAGGTATATCGCCTCCCCCTTCGTCCCTGACATCGAAGACTACCCGCTGCCAGCGAAGTTCAAGATACAAAGCATGAAGTCTTACGATGTGACCACGGATCCGGAAGATCACTTGTTTGCCTTCATGACCCAAATACGCCTGCAAACTGCTACGGATGCGGTTAGGTGCAAGACCTTTCCAATGTTTTTGGAGGGTAAGGCGCGTCAGTGGTTCCAGGAGCTTTCTCCCAGGTCCATTCGGTCCTTTGCCCAGCTCGCGCGACTGTTCTCGGCCCAGTTCGTTTCATCACGAGCCTTCTCCAAGAGTACGGCGCATCTGATGACTATCCAGCAAAGGCCTGAGGAGTCCTTGCGCGAATACATGGTACGTTTCAATAACGAGTCCCTCCAGATTGGAGATCGCGATGACAAGGTGGTCATTGTTGCCTTCATTAACGGGCTGCGAAAACAAAAGCTCTATACCGAGCTCGTGGAGAGACCTCCCAAGTCAGTTCGGGATATGCTAGACCGAGCTCTTGAGAAGGCCAACGCGGAGGAAGCCAATCGCCTTAAGAGTGAGCAAGAAAGATTGAGGGATGACAAGCGCAGGAGGGGCGCCGACCAGGTGGATGTACAGCCTAGCCAGGGAAGGAAAAACGCTTATGACCGCCTTCCCAGGAGCCGTCCAATGGGAGGAAACAAGTCCTGGACTGGTCTCACGGCACCTCGAGCTCGGGTGCTCGCAGTGATGGAACAGGAGGGGCTCTCTCGACCTCCTCGTCCTTTGGCCGGGGACAAAAACAAACGGAACCAACGTCTGTATTGCGCTTATCATCGAGATGTGGGGCACGATACAGAGGACTGCCGTCACCTCAAGAAAGACATTGAAAAATAGATCAAACGAGGCCATCTGGGGCAGTTCATACGAGAGGAACGAGCTGACCAGCAACGAGGAAGACCCAGGTCAGAACGTCCGAGCTACACCCGGGACCGACCTCAGGGGTCTCGTGGCCGAACTCCCGAGTAGGAAACACAGAATCTGACGGGGGTGATTAACACTATTGCCGGAGGACCTGCTGGTGGGGATAGTCATACAGCTCGGTGGCACAATCACCCCCCTCCCACGGGGGAGAGCTCGGCCAAGCGATTGAAGATGTATGAGGAAATAATCTATGGACTTGAAGACGCAGTCCCTCTGGCCTCTAATAACCATGAAGGCATTGTGATAGAAGTCATCACCTGTAATTACAAGGTGAAGAAGGTATACATAAACAACGGAAGTGCCATAGACGTGTTGTATTACAAGACCTTTAAGGAGCTACAGCTGGAGGATAGACAGCTCGTACCGGTTCGAACTCCGTTGATCGGTTTTGCGGGTCCTCCCGTGAGGCCGGAAGGAATGATCACTCTCATGGTTACGGTGGGGGTGTCCCCGAAGTGCCGAACGGTCCCGGTAAACTTCGCGGTGGTTAAGAAGCCGTCGTCGTACAATATGATTCTGGGACGGTCCACACTGAATGCTCTCCGAGCTATTTGCTCCACCTTGCATCTCAGTATGAAGTTTCCTACTCCTGCTGGGGTGGCTGAGGTGCTGGGAGATCCGGAGGTGGCAAGGGCGTGTTATATTGCCACCCTCAAGAGCAAAGAGAAATTGGTAGTTCAGACAGTTTGTTTAGAGCCCTGGGAGCCCATGGAGAAAGGGGAAAGATTGGAGACAGACGAGGGTTAGCCGAGCTGACCGTCCAGCCCGACCGACCTGAGAGCACGGTGAAGGTTGGCACCGGGCTAGGCGAGCTGGTCAGGAGTTCTTTGGAATCTCTCTTGGAGGAATATGCTGAGATTTTTGCTTGGAGTGCTGATGACATGTCAGAAATTCCCACCGAGTTGGCAGTCCATAGGCTACATGTGTCCCCCAACGTCCGACCTATGAAGCAGAAGAAGAGGAACTTTGCTCCTGAGCGAAAGGAGGTCGTCAAAAACGAGGTGGGTAAGTTGCTGGAGGCTAAGATAGTTAAGAAACTCTACTACCCGACCTGGCTAACCAATCCGGTGTTGGTCAAGAAGGAGGAGAAAGCTTGGAAGATATGTGTGGATTTCACTGACTTAAATAAGGCTTGCCCGAAGGACTGTTACCCACTCCCACGGATTGACCAGCTCGTGGACTCAACAGCTGGCTATGAGATTTTCTGTTTCTTGAATGCCTTCAAGGGGTACCATCAGATAGGCTTGGACGAGGAGGATCAGGAGAAGACCTCGTTCATCACCGAGGAAGGCACATATTGTTACGTCACCATGCCATTCGGACTAAAGAATGCAGGTGCGACCTATCAGAGGTTGGTAAACAAGTTGTTCAAAAATCAGATCGGCCGAAACCTGAAGGTTGATGTGGACGATATGTTAGTAAAAAGTCAAACTCAGGAGCAGTTCATCTCTGACCTGAGAGAAATTTTTGAGGTTCTTCGGAGCTCACGAATACGGCTAAACCCAAAGAAATGTACCTTTGGGGTCAGGTCGGGAAAATTCCTAGGCTACATGATTTCTAAAGAAGGGGTGAGAGCTAACCCAGACAAGATCAAGGCTATCATGGACATGGCTCCACCCCGGAATATTAAGGAGGTACAACGTCTGACAGGGAGGATGGCAGCCTTGAACAGATTCCTGTCCAAATCGGCAGTTCGGGGGTCGCCTTTCTTCAAGGTCCTGAAAGGAGGTTGGCAGTTCGAGTGGAGCCCGGAGTGCCAAAAGGCGTTCGATGAACTGAAGGCCCACCTCGCTCGGTTGCCAGCCCTGACCTCTCCCAAATTGGGGGAGACCTTGTTCATTTACTTAGTTGCGGGAGAGGGTGCCATTAGCGCAGTGCTGGTGCGGGAGGAAAACAAAATGCAAAAACCCGTGTATTATGTCAGCCGCGCCCTGCAGGGGGCCGAGGCAAGGTACTCGGCGGTAGAACGATATGTTTTGGCATTAGTACATGCAACTCGGAAGCTCAGGACGTACTTCCAAACTCACCCCGTAGTGGTCATGACGGACCAGCCTCTGAAGCACATCCTTTCCAAGCCCGAGTCCTCGAGTTGAATGGTGAAGTGGGCTATGGAATTGTCAGAATACGACCTGGGATATCAGCCCCGAACGGCCATCAAAACCCAAGCGTTGGCGGACTTCATAGCGGATGGCGTTTCCTTTGGATCGCCTGAAGCGGAGGTCGATCTGGCCAGGGACATACAGGCCAGGAAGGATGGAGAAATTGTTAAAGATGCGCACATCAGGCAAGCAGCCAAAACCTTACAGACTCCAAAAACTACCAAAGCCACCCAGGCCCGAGAAGCAGCAGAGGTCTTTGAGGCCGGAGACGCTGCCGAGGTCACCCAGGCCATTCAAGTAGCGGAGGTCGGACCGTCCAAAGAGACAAATGAGGCCGAGCAGGTCAAAGAAACTGCCGAGCGCGGACAGGCTGGAGAAGCAGCTAAGGCCAAACAAATTCAAAAAACTGCCGAGGTCGGACCGGCCGGAGAGGCAGCGGAGGGGGGACAGGCATTAAACGTTGCCGAGGCCGAGCATTCTGGAAAAGCAGTCAAAGCTGAACTGGCCAGAGAGACGGCCCAGGCCAGGAAGGTTACTGAGGCTGCGGGACGAGCTGATCTCACCTGGACGTTGTACGTGGACGGCGCGTCAAGTAAGGAAGGATGTGGGGCCGGGCTCCTCTTTATCAGCCCTACTAGGGAGGAGCTGCCCTACGCTCTGAGGTTCGATTTTAGAGCTTCTAACAATGAATCAGAGTACGAGACTCTAATTACAGGGATGGAGATGGCCCGGAAGTTAGGGGCTAGATCAATAAAGGCCTATAGCGACTCGCAGCTGATAGTGAACCAGGTATGGGGAAGCTACGAGGTCAAAGAGGGGACGCTAAGAAGGTATGTGGCCAAGACACGCGAGCTGAAGGGCCTGTTCGAGCAGTTCGCGCTTGAACAGATTCCGCGAAGCCAGAACAAGAGAGCTGACGCCCTGTCTAAACTGGCCTCTACCTCGGTTGGCGTCTTAGGTCGTGAAATACTGGTGGAGGTCGTCAGAAGTCGGGCCTATGAACCGTTCAATGCTGTGGTCATTCAGGTGGTGAGCTCGTGGATGGATCCTATTGTCCAGTACCTGGCTCAATGGGAGCTCCCACCGAGCAGGGTAGAGGCCCGCAAAGTCCTCCTTAAGTCGCAAAAGTACGTGCTCACGCATGGAGTCTTATACAGGAAATCTCACTTGCAACCCTGGTTGAAGTGTGTAACGCCCGAGGAAGGAAGTTATGTCTTGCGCGAGTTGCATGAAAGCATCTGCGGCAATCACGTTGGCCCTTGAGTATTGGCCAAGAAGGGAATGCTGGCTGGATACTATTGACCCACCATCTTCAGGGACTCGGCCGAGCTGGTAGCCCGGTGTAAGTCTTGCCAGCTACACGCCCCAATCCATCACACCCCCACTCAGGAAATGATTCCTCTCAGTAGCCCGTGGCCATTCTTCCAATGGGAGATTGACCTGTTGGGGCCGTTTCCCCGAGCTCCAGGTGGCTACGAACACTTGGTGGTAGCCATTGATTACATCACTAAGTGGGTAGAGGCCGAGTCCATCAACACGATTAGCAGCAGGTCGATCCAGAAATTCCTCTGGAAAAGCATAGTCTGCCGATTTGGCATACCAAGGGCTCTCATCTCGGACAACGGCAGGCAGTTCGCTGACCACTCTCTCCAAGAATGGTGCACGGAGCTCGGCATCCAGCAGCACTTCACTTCAGTGGGGCACCCCCAAGCCAATAGACAGGTCAAGAATGTCAACAGAACCATCCTGCACGGCCTGAAGACAAGAATAGAGTCTACCCGAACTAATTGGCTGGAGGAGCTGCCCACCATACTATGGGTTTACCGGACAACGCCTCGGACGGCCACCCAAGAGACACCGTTCGTCCTGACATACGGGGTCGAGGCAGTAATTCCAACAGAGATTGGAGTGCCCTCGGGTAGGGTGCAACACTTTGTGGCTCAGGATAATGAGGAGGAGATGCGGCTTGACTTGGACTTAGTCGAGCATCGAAGGGAAGAAGCGGCTATAAGAATGGCTAAGTATAAGGGCCAGGTCGCACGCTATTACAATGCCAGGGTTAGGCACCTTTCTTTCAAGCCAGGGGACCTGGTATTATGCAAGAACTCCGTGAGCCGAGCTGGGGGCACGGGTAAGTTAGACCCAAACTGGGAAGGTCCCTACGTGGTAAGGGAAGCTGACCGGGTAGGTTATTGTAAGCTAGCTCGCCTGGATGGAGGCGAAGTCCCGTGCACCTGGCACAATTCAAATTTAAGGCTTTTTCTTTAGTATCCTGCCTGAGCTGAAAATGGTCAGCCGGACAGGTCTGTTTTCATTTTGTTAGTTCAGCACTTGGGCTTATAATGTATTCAAAGCTTTTAAATAATAAAAAATTTTTACAAGTGTTGGATGAGAAAGTAGGCCATCTATTCCATTTCAAAAAAAAGGCATATACATGCGGAGGGCTATACAAAAGCGAGCTGGCCAGCTCGGTCCCTACCTTAGCCTAATTCCTATAGGCCTATCCTATGTACTATCCATCTAGCTCTCCCCTTGCTGTTCTTGCTCTGGCTCGGGAGAGGCTGCGGGAAGAGTAGGGTCGGCGACCAAGGCAACCAGGTCGCGCCCATTGGAGTAGCCCGTGACAAGCCTGTCAATTTGATGGACGGCTTGGGGGTTGTAGTCAGGCCATTTTCTCAGGTCAAAACCCGGCAAGTTCAAGGACTGAACATCTGCCATGGCTTTGGTGTAGCCGAGCTGCAGGACGGGGCCATTCAGGATGGCCAGGTCGTTCATGAAGCCTTCAGACTTTTTAAACTCTTGAACGCCTAGCTG